ATTTGTTTAATGTAGCGATTTCCCGGATTTTACTACGTGTTTCTTGGATTTCGCATGTTTTTTTCCCGATTTTCCACATTTACAGGGAAAACTCAAGATAAAATCGAAAAATCACCTGCATAAAACACCTTTTCACGCCGATTACTTTTCAGAAGAGGTGCTACACGTAGAAATCGGAGCGAGTCCTCTGGTAGAAAAGTTGTCCACAGAAAAATAAAAATCAAAATAAACGTCTTTGTGGAACCATAAGCATTTTCGCTCCACTCAAAGTCTAAAATAATGTACGGGCGCGTAAGTTTAAGAAAAATGCGTTTACCGATATCGCCTAACCTTCGCGTAATGAATACGTATCTCGTTCCGATATAATCGGGTGGACATTGCTCGAGTGCGTAGTGCTGTTTTGCCGCACGACGTACTTGAACTGGTCGCCAAATCGATCGCTGAAAATGGAAAAGAAAAACAAGCGGGATGTCCAGCGTACAGTTGTATAGGTTGGAATACTTCATTAAAAATCCATTACGAAAATATATATTAGACATGAGGTACCTGACTACATTTTAAAACGAAAATAAATGCGAATCGTCGCGTCGTAGCGATTTAAATATTTTAAAGAACTTGTCTGTAACGAAACTCGAAAGTTTTTTTTTTTTAGGATTCATAAAACGCAGAAAGAGCGCACGTTCAAACTTTGAAATTGTTCGGGAAAGACGAAAAACTGCTTCGTAACACCTTCGGTCTCCAATGCGGCCAATATATCAAACGGATCCGCATAAAAATGTCCGGAGGAGAATATATCAAAAAAATAAAAGTTTGTGTCTATACGTGTCCTGTAATTTAACAAATTGTAATATATTTCGTTCAACCTAATTTGATACACAGAAATACTTAAAAATTCGACAAGAATTTGAAAGAGACATTATAAGTAGTTAAGCAAAACAAGACTTCTTAGGATAATGGCGACGGGTGCAGCCACTGTTATAGATAACTCAATGTATATCTGTGAGCAACGATAAACCATTGTTTACGAAAAAACGATTCTGAGCGGAGTTCAGTTGGTAATGATGTTTTATCAACAATATAAATATATATATATCATTTTATAGTAAAATAATTAAATAGGCTATATGTATTTTCTTTAACAATATTTGTTTAATGTTGTACCGATTTTTCCTTTTTTTCTTGCGTTTTTCTTGGTTTTCCCGTGATTTTTCCTGGTTTTTCACATTTGCAAAAACTATAAGCGTCTTCTCTCCACTCAAAAACTAAAACAAGCATATTTTTAACGAAGAAAAAAAATACAGAACAGTCATAAGTGGCAAAACCGTTAAAGCGAGTTTTAACGGTTTTTCAAATTTGATAAGAAAAATCATGAGGAAATTGAAATATAACCTCTCTAAATTATTTCCTTACAAAAAAATAAAAAAATAAACGTCTTTATAAAGCTATAAACTTCTTCCCTTCACTCAAAATCTAAAATTGAGTGTAATTAAGATTTAAAATCAAATTTTGATGAAAATCGTAAATATCACGGCCTATCAAAACATTGATAACCGAACTTCGCCTCAAATCGTTATCCGTTGTCAATTTTTTATCGTCGCGGTAAATTAAATTTCCCTCTATGCCTTATCATCCCGACTTCTCACCTACAGCAGTGTCCACTAACCATGTGAAGTATGTTTTATTTTTTAGTAAAAATTTTTTTTAGGAGGTCACGAAATTTACCACAGCCACCAGTGGGCGAGTACTAATGTGAAAAGTGTTTTTAGAAATTCGAAGGCTAACGCGTAAAATAAATTTTCAGAAAATTTAAGCGTAATCTACTCGTTTTTTTGGGGGGGGAAGGGTGGTTTATTCGGCCACTAGGACCAACCCGCCTCACAACTAATTCTACAACCATCCCTTTCCACTGCAGCAACTACCAGATCCTTCCAATTTGATCCGCCTCCCAATGTTTTCACGTCCTTCCTAATCATCCAATCTCAATCTCAGTCTGCCCAAAGGTGTTTTCCCTACCGGGTTCTGTTTCCGACGCCGCTGCTTTTAGTGAAGAAACCTGTTTTTATTATTGGTTTTAAATTTAATTTCAGAAAATTATCTTTTTATTTTTAATAAATTACGATCCAATTGAAATATGAATTTATAGAACAAAAATACTTTGATACTGATATTTGTGTTGATCAGTCGTATAACGGTTTAGAGTATTTATCGCTCTGGAAATCCGGTCGGGGTCGCGACGACGGCGGTTTTCGTCGCAGCGGCGGATTAGATTGTGTTACCAACGTTACCACCGCCACCGCGGTAACCAGTACCGCGGTTATCTGCATCACCCATAATAATATTATAACCGAGGTACGCGTACTGCAGACTGCAGGTGTATTATAGGTACGCACACGCGTAAAAACGCGTAGGTACGCGCGTTTTTGTGCGGCACACCTACTGACCGGATACCTGCTCTTCCTAGACAGGTGCCTGTTATATACAGGGCGATTATTTCAACACGAACCGGCGAATTTCTCTGAGAATTTTAGGTCAGCTCGCAGATTTCTATTTCGCCCCTTCCCTCCTCCCAATAATGATTATCACGGAATCGGTAGAGTTTTTTTTTTATCGACATTATTTTCAAACATCGATCCCGTGATCCTTATAATAAAAATTCTTCGTCATAACGATTTTCCTATACGAGTATTATTCTTATACACTTTGGATTCGCCGGCATTTCAACGGGAATCTGAAAAAAAAAACAATAAGAAAAATCACCCATATTTTCCTAAACAATTCTATCGACGGAGTTCGATGCCCTCAACGACTATATTTAGTTTATATATTACTATATTTTTTTTTTCGTTCATAACGGATGCTTTATTTTTATGCTCTTCCAGCGCGGACCGCGATGCTAATTTAACTACGTTATGTTATCCAAATCGAAAATATCAATACGTAATACTTTACGTTTAAATTACAATATAGTCTCTTATCGAAAACACTACAAAATAAAAAAGCATAAAAAAAAATATTATCATAAAGACGTGCTAGGATAATGGGGACGGGTGCAGCCACTGTTATAGGTAATTTAATGTATACCTGTAAACAACGATAAACCATTGCTTACGATTTTAAACGGAGTTCAGTTGATAGTGATGCTTTATAAACAATACGTATGCCGTATTATAGTGAAATAATCGAATAGGCTTTATATATTTTGTTTAATAATATTTGTTAAATGTTATAGCGATTTACTAGGTTTTCCTCCGTTTTTCCCAGTTTTCCCATTTATTTTCCCGATTCTTCACATTTACTGGGAAAACTCCGGAGAAAATCAAAAAACGATCCCTTTAAAGTACCTCCCCAATCAGATTTTCTTTTAGAAACATTGCTGCCTTTATAAATTGAAACAAAATTGCTGGTAAAAAAGTTATGCACCGAAAAATAAAACCGTAATGTATTAGTAGTATAATTTCGTACATGTTCTTGTTTTTTAAATTTTACCTCCCTAAAGTACCTCCCTACACCGATTAACTTTCAGAAAAGGTGCTAAACGTAAAAATCAGAGCAAGTTCTCTGGTAGGAAAGTTGTGCACAGGAAAAAAAAAATAATAACATATCTTTGTAAAACCATTTTTACTTTTGTATAACCATTTCGCTCCGCTCAGAATATAAAATGGAATAAAACGGCGAGACTGAGCAAGTTAATGATTTTTTTTCTCAACTCAGTTAAATTAAGTCAAATGAAAATTGAAACAAAGTTAATAATTAAAAGTTAATTCAAAATAATATATCAATTCAACTGAGTTAGAATTTTAACCAAATGTAAAAATTTACTTTACAACTCGAGTTCAGCGAGTTAAAAAAATATTTACAAATATTGTCGATTAGCTGTAATGATCTAATAATTTATCTTCAACCCCCAACCGGTGACAACAGAAAAACATAACACGCAACAATTCATATTTTAAAATATCTATAATACTATATTGATAACAATACCTGTATATGAATATATATATGAGCAAATAAAAACTGAAATCAACTTAACTTGTTTAAACATAAAATTAACTCGAGTTAATTAAAAGTTAATTATTTTGTATTCCTCGAGTTAACAATTAAATTGGCGGTTCAAAAAAAATTATTTTATAAAGTTAAACAGTTAAATTGACTTAAATTACGATTTAAATATTTCCCTTCCCGGCGCCGACTTACATATCTACGCCGCCGACTTGCCGTTAATAATATAAAAGTAGGGGAACGATGACGTCGGGATTGTTACCCGTAATATTTGTTACCATGTCATAACGGAAACGGACCGCGATAGCAAATGAATCGTCCTGTATACATGTTTTAGTTGCATTTCGACGATTTTATTTCGTCATAGTGCCGTTTATAATCGGAATACCGAATAATATAATAATAATAATATGCACGCGCTCGCCAGAGTTTATTTATTACACGCGATCACGCTGATGCAGTACAGTCGGCCGAGCTTAGGAGAGAGAAAAATCGAGAGAGCGAGAGAAGGAGTGAGAGCGAGCGAGAGACGGGACGGCTCGTACTTGTATATTATATTGCGTTATTATTATACTGGTTTTGGAGAGAAAAAAAAAACAAAATACGTCCGAACGAACGAGATGCACGTCCAATTTCGTATTAAAATATTATATACCTTCCTACACATAATATGTATACATATAAAAAAAAAAAAACAAATTTAATATTAAAAAAAAAAAAAAAACGAAAATAATAATAATTCGGTATTAACCATATGTTTGTGCGCAGTAAACCGTCCAGCATTATAGATAACTACTCTAACCATACCTACTGTAATACCGTGAACAGATTGTACGGATTGTTGACAAAAAAAAAAAAACATCTTATATTCGTGTTTTATTTTGTCCGTGCGTGAACTGTGCTGTACCTCTGCAATAAAATTGATAAATAAAAAAAAAGAAAAGAAATGAAAACGAGCATAATACCATAAAAAAAACAGCCTACTACAATGGGTACAGGTCGTTCAGAATCGGCAAAAATTACATTTTTCTATTGACCAAATCAAATTTACAAAATATCAAGAGCACCCTCGAAGAACTCAAAAGTCGGAAATTGCGTAATTACAAATTGTAAACGTAAATTCTAGATACACGTGACAAAATACCCAAATAATCAAATATTTGAATTCTTATAGAACGAATAAAAGACATCCTAGGATAATGAGAACGGGTGCAGCCACTATTGTAGATAGTTTAATGTATACCTGTTAGCAACGATTGTAAATGGTTAGAGTTTCTGGTAAAACGCAAAAAGGACGGACGTTCACACTTTGAGATTGTTCGAGAAAGACGAAAAACTGCTTCGTGACACCTTCCGTCTCCAATGCGGCCAATATATCAAACGGATCCGCATAAAAATGTCCGGAGGAGAATATGTCAACAAAATAAAAGTTTATGCCTATACGTGTCCTGTAATTTAACAAATTGTAACGTATTTCATTCAACCATAATTTAATGCACAGTAATACTTAAAAATTCGACAAGAATTTGAAAACGACATAATAAGTAGTCCAGCAAAAAAAGACTTCTTAGGATAATGGCGTCGGGTCACAGCCACTGTTATAGATAATTCAATGTATATCTGTAAGCGACGGGGAGGAGAGGGGTGGGGGGATTATTTACCACCGGTATTTATCACCACTATTATGGAAAAATTATACCTGTACTATTAATAATTATAGTGATAACAAATTAATACTCGTCGTAGACTTTTCATCGTCCCCTTCAGAATTATTATTTCTCCTCGTTAAACCGTCGGCACGGCGTCTAAGACATACTATGTTATCGCATTATTACCATAGCCGTTCAAGTTGTTGTTGCTGTCGTTGTACCGTTCTCTATGGTCTTCAACCTTTTTTTCCGCGAGGACCACTGTATTTTACCATACATTTTTTACGACCCATCATCTATGTTACTTTTGTTCGCCGTGAAAAGCAAACGAAAACAAGCAGAAATTGCTCAATGTCCTAATATGCCGCTGTAGAAGTGCTATTATATAACTGAATAATTAACAAACTATAATATTTTTATTATATGTAATAGCGAAAATTAGTGCGACTATTTTTATAGAGCCAATGTCATCGTATAGTCATTTTTTCTGTGTTTAAACTGTAATGTTGTGCGTTCTCACCGAATATAGGAGGATTACGAGTAATAACAATAAATTCGATTTGTAGAGGTTCTGATGGCCAGAAAATATTCGAAAGTTGTAAATAACAATCCCCAGAAATACTTTGATTACATTAAAATGACATTTCAATTCCATATCATAGCCAGAAGATTATTGGATAATTCGTACATCCGAACGGGGAATGAATATATCTATTTTTGATCTAATACCAAAGGATGATACAAAAAATAATCGATGAAAGACAACCGAATAGGATGATGGGGACGGGTGCAACCACTGTTTCGGGTAATTTAACGAGTACCCGTAAGCAACGATAAACCGTTGCTAACGAAAAAACGATTCTGAACGGAGTTCAGTTGGTAATGATGCTTTGTCAACATTTTATATATATATATATCATTTTATAATAAAATCATAAAATAGGCTTTATGTGTTTTCTTTAACAATATTTGTTTAATGTCGTAACGATTTTCCCGTTTTTCCTAGGTTTTTCTTGGTTTATCCATAATTTTTTCTGTTTTTTCACATTTGTAAAATCATAAGCGTCGAAGATAAAAAATACAGAACAGTCATAAGTGACAAAACCGTTAAAAAAATTCGGTTTTCCAGTTGACATCCGCCGAATCGAAAAATATTGTGCCAATATCGAAACCAGAATATTTGAAGGCCCCCTTCGTTTCCCCGCTCACACGGTATTATTTTATGGAATTTTTCCTACGAGCGACTATATAAACTAAGAAATAAAATTGAAAGTTTTTCCACCCCGAACCAGTATTATGTTTATTAAAAAAAAAAGGAATAGTAAATCAGTAGGTTGCGAATTCTTCACCCTTTGTGTCCTGCAGCTAGAGTTATACAGAAACAAAGTACAAACTGTACAAATCTTACTTTACATGCTTTTTCGTTTCGATTCTGAAAACACGTCAGTAGGTTAATGCGATAAAGGACACCGGGTGTTTTAAAAGTTCCAAAACATTCACAACAACGATTTCCCAATGTAACCCAACCATACAATATGAATACAATAATATTACGTACGAAACCGAGATACCCGTTATTATAGTGTCCTGTTATGTGTGTAACTCTTATCTCTTTGTTGTAAAAAATCAGTTTTAACATTTATATCGTCCGTATTGTATTGTACTTTGTTACAGGGGGGGGGATGTTGTCGAACCTCCCATGCTTTAAGTCCTATCGTCCTGGAGCAGTTTCTCAGCCAGACACGACACTGTTTCCGATAGAAAATCGTGTCCAACTTTGCTACATTGAGGAGGTTATTTTTCGATACGTCTTGAATAGTTATTTCTCGATACACGAGTATTTACGAGATAACGAGCGGATGTTCGTTATTTTCGATATAGGTTTTACTTTTAACGGCTCCCTCTTTTCCAAATGTGCTCACGTTCGGGAATCAGAGTGGTTTAACATGGCGGATCGGAGTGATTAAATTCGTATTGGATTTCGATATTAATTGAATCGCGTTTTTTCGCGAGCGGAGGGTGCAGCTTTAGCCGTGTACTCCCCTACACACTCTCCAAACGAAGCCGGAAGGTACAACATGTGTATGTGCGTCAGTGTCAAGAATACTGTGTCTATCGGGCGGTTTCAATTCCCACTCCTACAGTTTTTA